CGCTTTATGTAAGATAGGTCTGACTAAACCATGCACTGCATTGTGAGCTGGCCAGACTAGTATGGCTATTTTTCCCATTTAATTAACTCTCATAAACAATATATAGCATATGAATTATATGAGCCATGCAGAAGAAAGAGTGTTATATAGAAGCCAACAAACTCCGGATAACATAATCTTACAAACTCAAGTCAAGACCGAAAATTCTGGTGAGATTTTGACTTTATCCCAAAGTATTTATCATATAGATATAAATAATTTGGTTTGACATGCAATGACTTTGACTTTGCCTTAATTTGGAATAAAGTCGAAATGTCACCAGACTTTCGTGTCTCTATACTATAATAGTGCGTCACTGTGTTTTATTGGAATATATAAAATCTTAAGTTTGCAAGATGATGTTTTTCGTTTGTGACGTCTATAATGTTCTGTGAGGAAATATAATGATATTATGATGTATAAGATTAAAGTTGTTAAAATTTAATGAATCGGTATAATACGTATGCCATGCACGTGAACTAAAAAACAATGTTCGTTTGCCGAAAAATTATATGCATGCAATTGTTTAGACCCCTATTTTGTTATTATCACACGGATTTCACCACAATCCCCCGCAAAATGCTAATTACATCGCGATTTACGGTTATTTTAACCTAATTTTTAACAGAGTTTGGAAAGTTTCTTGTTTCTTTTGTGTGATGCAACCTGAACTAAGACTGAAATGACAATATTACAATAACTGAGTAGTTTCCCACAATTTGATTGTGAAAGCCATTTCAAACGTGCTTACGAGGGTGTGCTTATACAATCCATTTCAAAGTATATTGGACTGTTTAAGCGATATCTCTTGCGGCGACTAATTGCCAAAAATGTCACAGATGCATATAATTATATGTTAAATTTTATCGTATGCTATCACGTGTACCGAAGGATTAAAACAATTTGGTTAGTTTGAAAAAGTCGCAAAAATGTTATGCGGTGGTTTCATTAACCATTTTTGTGAAGTGAAATAAATAAATAAATGTATGGAACAATGTCAAATGCTTGGACACTTTTAAGTATACTTCCTTCAAGTATATTTAGGTAGTATTTTCCCTTGGGTAAAAATTTAACTGAGTTCTTAAATAGCGTTTTTTCTAGCGCAACAGCTACAAACAAAACAGCGAAAACCTCACTCAAGTTTTGTCAGAATGAAAAAAAATGTTCTCGAATGGCCTTTTAGACTTTCAGCTGCCCTGGTTTCAAATACTCAGTTTCAGGGACGTTTTTTAATCAGGGATATAAAATGTATAAAGTTATATTCAGCTTTTGTATCATTTTGAGCAGAAAAGTTAGAAACCATTGTTCAGGCATAGGTTTTTCGCGTGTTGAATAACAAAAACCACGGTCTTTTATAGCATACTTTTTATCCATGTAGCTATAGCCTCAATTGCCCAAAATTATACCAGGTCAAATTGTACAAAAGTTGTGAACAAAAATTAATATGACGATTTATGCATAAAAAATATCACGGTGTTATCACTTTCACACCGTCAGTTATCTAATAGAATTCAAATGCGTTTTTACCAAGTTTTACATTGCGACACAGAATAATTTCAAATTTAAAGTACGTACCAGATATTATTCAGCAAATTTAGACTCAGGATGTTTGACGTCAGCCACGACACACTCGAGACGTGCTAAACCCCGCGATTGCATGATATTATGTCGTATGGTGTAATTGTAGACAATTACCATCGTGCATAATTATGGCATGAAAAAATCAATTTCGGTCAGAATAAATTAGCGCAAGTAGATGTAGGGCAGGAAATAGTTGCTACAGGTTTACATGCAGCTAGGCTTTCTTTACTGAATATAGTAACCTCATGTTTGTGCTATGCGTTCCCTGTCATCTGTTCCCTGCCATGCAGTTTGAATATGGTTGCCAATATTAATCAAGTGCGTTGTTTCTCTTTTGACAAAGGATCCTTTGTGTATGCAACACACTTGATCTCTTAAACTAAGTCTTTGTATTTAAGAGATCATACCGGATGTTTGCATGGGTCTGGAAAATCAAGATATTTCTTTACATTCTTCGTTTTACATATACCCATAGTTATTTAGTTCGTCCGATTTCACTAAATATATAGAGCATTTTGATTTTTGTTTCCTGGTTGCATCCATGCAATTAATGATGTGAATATTTAGAACTGTTTGGAACCGCTCACCTCGGATTATATTGCTGATGACACATAATAATTATAAATCCAATCCTATCAATCCACTGAGGGAAAATTTTTAAAAGACGAGTTGATTTTTCATTTGATGTCCTCAATGTCAACCCGATAATGATACGTAAGTATAATATGGGTGGCATCTAAGATTTGCGCCATCAGCCCAATATTTTTCTTTGTGGTATTTTAATATTTTTTAATTATTGCGGTATTACATTGCATTACACAATATTGAAATAATTTTATTTAAAAGCTGTTGATTTTGTTTAAAAAGTGTTGTAATCGAAAAAGAATTTCTTCTAAGAATTACTTCAACTTCCCGATGTTAATCCCCGCATGAATATGATGCCCTTAGTCGGCATACTAAAAATGACATCTTGTCTGGCGTCAGCAAGTATCACACGTCATGCTTAATTGATATTGTGATAAAATTGATATCATCTGATACAGTCATATCCTTATAAAAGTACCAAAATTGAATGTAACCGAGATTTTGTCACATAAATTCTTGCATAATTCGTTGAAAAGGTAAATGATAGCAGGTGTATAATTTGTTAATAATCATGCATTTCAAAATAGTTTATGTATAGCTATTTAATAATTATAATGTACAATGAATAAGTTTTACAGACTGTACTTGGTATATTTGTTATAAAAGATATCATTTCCTGGTACGGTTGAAGCTCATGCAATTCAATGACATTATGATCTATGAAATGGTCTCGCAGGAAAATTATTCTGCATCTAAAGTTATTCTGAATTTAAAGCATCTAGTTAAAAGTTTAACAGTTTCGGATATTATGTGACATGAGATGATGAACGATATCTGTAGATTTTCATAAAAAATAGCACTACTTAGTGTTAGGCGACTTTTTGAGTCATTTGATCTGTAGGAATACATTTGGCCATTTTGGGCGACATTTGTGTTCTGTGTGCCACCCCCGCTAAACTGAGTTGTAGCTCTCGTTTAAAGTGTCTCAAACTTCAATGACCTGCACATATTTGGCAAAGTGTACCAAGTTCGTCTGAAGTAAATAATATCCGTCCATTTTTTTGGCAAAAGAATTGTCTTACATCTCAGCGTTTTTCCTTAAAGACTTGCTTGTAGTATAATTGCTAACTCCTGCCTAAAGTGTCCTGAAAGGAAGGGTGCGACATGCCCTGCGTATAGGTTCTGAAACTAAATATTGAGTGTTCTGGAAGTTACATAATTGCAGTAATAATAGACATAGGCACCAGTTACACGATACCGGATTAGTAGCGTACCGGATTACTTTCCATATCAGATAGACGTTGCATTACGAGCTAGGATGTAGCAATTCGGTAAGTTCCAAGAAATTAAATCCCTCTGGAGATGATATGAAAAGTGATCCGGATATTTCTGTATAATTCCTCTAATCCGGTATATAATATGTTTTGAAGGAGAAATAAATGGTCATCAAACGCTTACAAAGGTTACCGATTCCAAAAGTTCTATTGCACTGTCCTGTCCACGAAAATATTTGTTTTGGACTTTTTGCTACCCTGTTGAACTTAGCAAGACGCGCGGTTTCATCTTAACTGCATTCGTCTCGTTTGCTTTTAAATAACTGTATGTATATTTCTGTCGTTTGCCGCGTGATTGAAATGAGCATGCTTCTTAAATCTTCCTGCTGCTTGCTTAATAATTAAAGTGTTTCCATTTTGGCCATGCAAACGCAAATGAATTTTATCGAACAAACACGTACGCTTTGTTCGAATCGCGTCGGGTGCGCTGGGCGTATACGTTCGCTTTCCCCACGTGGACCACCCTTAGGGCTGATTTCCACTGTGGAAAGCAGCTATATAGTATGTTGTCTTTAACTTAAAAACTAAGTCAATAAATCGAAAGAACTTAGTTTTCCGTATATTTTAGTATGCATTTGTTCACCTAAATGTTAAACAATATAAATATAACATCATTTAGAATTTTCCGTGGGTGTAATGCCTAAAAAACGCATAAATGGAAAGCAGCCCTTAGGAAACACACGTAACGGATCCGGATCTACGTGTGCAGAAATACTTCCTCCTTCCGCCACACTCATGCGCAGCACGTATATGACAACAGCGTGGGGGTTTCCCGCGTGAGATAATGCTTCGGCTAAACGCTAAAAAATGTCTGAATGCGTTGGAGTCATTTTCCTGGCATGAGTATACTTTATATTGGTGACTTGATAGTCCAACACAATGAGGCTTGTTAGTTAAATGTTGATCTTGTTGATCTTAACATCCCATCTTGAGTGATCAGATAGTAGAACATTGCATTGTTAACTTTGCATGCGGCGTACGTTTTTATTGATTAGAAATACATGCACCTTCTTAATTTTTTCCCAGCTATCCAGGGTCGACTGCACGTTCAGTGACATTAGGGCTGCTTTCCACTGTAACATTTTTTGCACGTACGTACACGCACGTATATAAAAGCTTAAAACCTTCTAAGTTGTTATATAATTAATTTTATGCCAGAAGAACACACACCAAATCATCAACACCAACCCTATGCACCTGTTCAATTGCTGATTCCATAAGTGTCAATTAATTTTTTTTTAAACTTCTACGTGCGTATACATGCATAGGAATAATATATACATATGCAAAAAACGCGACAGTAGAAAACAGCCCTTGCCCTGGTGTGATTTCCATGCATCAGTTGACTCTGCATGGGACGAGCAAAAAATACGACAGGGAAATTTTAACCCTTCCCAACCGACTTTGATCGCATGCCTAAATCAGTGTTAGCAACATATTAAACATTTCTTTAATTTTTAGATTACGGAACTGATCTATGTGCACTCGAAAGTCATGATTGTGGATGATCGTTACACTATAATAGGATCAGGTAAGTGAAGTGTACGCTGGTATAAATAACGAGAACTTCGGCATTTTGTCATGAAGTTTCATATCATATTTCATACATTTTTTTAAAATCTTCTCCTGTCTCATTCCAGCAAATATAAACGACCGAAGCTTACTAGGAAAAAGAGATTCTGAAATTGCAATATTAGCTGAAGACTGCGAGTTTGTAAGTACTAGCATGTACTTTTGATATTGGAATCCGTGGTTTGCTAATAAAGTGTGTTGCCAAAAAAGTATTCGTCTTTTTTTGAGGACCGATGTTTCAAACATTTTACACTACCCCATTCCATTGGCTTTACTTATTCAGCCTTATCGAGCGGGGTCGTTTAAGGCAGGTTTCCATAAATGGTGATGTCAGTAATGCCAAATAGACCGGCATTACATCGCCATATAATAATTATTATGCAAGAAACTCATGTTCCCTCTTAATTGACTGTTGCTCCTCGTTAGGTTCTACAGGTAATATAAAATCCTTCTTGATTTTCCATCAACCGTAAAATCTCTAAATAAATGTTTTCATATTTTCGATAGATCGAATCAAAGATGAATGGAAAAAAGTATCAATCTGGTGTTTTTTCATCCAGCCTTCGGCATCGATTAATGAAGTATGAATAAACTTTATAAAACACGCCATATTTATCATTTGTTTGTCCCCATCTTGGTTTTTCATAAGGTGGAATAGCCAGCCTGACATTTAATCAAGCTATTCAAATTTTAGGTTATTATAATTATTCATTTATTTAGAAAATTATTATTTGAATGTTGTTGAACACCAAATATTAGCATAGTGGGACAATTGTCAGGCTGGCTACGTTACTGCCCAGTTTCACCATATATGAAGTTTTACTAACCAAGCTGCCTAAATCAAGTTAGACTTCTCCCTCCTGATATAAATTTGGTAGTTATTGATAAAAAAGGTTATAGGCTGTTTAGATCACTTGGTTGTTACGTTTTCAGGAAAGAATATTATTCAACTTTTCTTGGCTATGTTTGGGGTTTTTTGTCCTCATTCATTTTGGCCTTATTTATTGGCTCACTTTAGCGAACATCTTGGCTTGTTGGAGTCAGTTGATGAGAAAGACGATTCTGTGGTAAAAGATCCAATTTCAGAATCATTTTTTAAGGTACGTGGAGTAATGTCAGAAGGATGTTGTCTCTCTTAAGACAGCTTCTTCTATGAAAGGCCAAAACTAAAGTGGGGCTAAGATTTGTTTTCATTTTCTCAATCAAGGACGTTTGGTCTGCTATTGCTGATGCTAATACCAGAATATATGAACAGGCGAGTATCCAAAGTTATTTCATGTTTAACCAATCATGTATTACCCGTCTTTATACTTGAGACACAATACTAACAACGAAGTTGGAAAGATTATTATATGGCAAGCATTTATTACTCGATTATTCCTCTAAAGCATCGCGCAACTCAAGATAGTTTGTCTATAGATGTGCAATTATGTCTCGAACAATAATCCCTTTTAATATCAATCCACTTAGTTTATATACATCAGATTACGTCATTAGTTAATCTTAGTATTAGATAATGGTTACTATTTACTAGATCACACTATACAATAGACGTATACTATATGCGTCATGTACTGCATTTTATACTTCCCAGTAATTATCCTTTTGGTCGTATTCTTTCCTTTTTTATGCACTTTTCATTGAAAAACCTCAAAATAATGGACTTGCATGTGGGATGTTCGTTGTAACAAGGTGCATTTTTGTGTTTCGTGAATTTCATAGTTATATAATGCATGTGTTTCAATTGAAGGTGTTTCACGCTCTCCCATCTGACGCTGTTGAACATTTTAGCGAGTTACCTCAATACAAGGTGAATTTCACAATAATGTATATTATTATGTATATGTATATTACTCTACTAATGTTGCTGGCCACAGGTGCAGACGAATTCTAACATGCAGAGTTTCCCCATGCAAAGTATGACCTGGCTTAATTACGAAGTTACGAGGGAAATTCATTCGAATTCATTCCTACTTTCTGATACCATGAAAATTTATCATAATTACTCCGGCGTGAGCGACGGAGTTGAAAATTCACCTAGGTTTTGGGTTTTTTGGGGGTTTATTTTTCGCCGTCGCGAGTGTGTTTTGGCGCGAAATGTACTAGTATTTGAAAAGTGTATGTGACCGTATTTATCTACGTCACAGTTTTGTCTCCCACGAGTTGTGGTGCACAGCTCGAAATCTCTGATTAATTTACGGTACGGCAATTCCTCTAAGAGGAACAAATAAACCGTTCTTTTCATGCTGTTTGATTAAGTTTAGATTTAATTGGGGTAAGAATATATTTAATACATGTAGATTCTGGCCCTATTTTACTAATATCGCGTCTGTTTCGCCGTTTAAAGGCGATTCTCCATTACGTCCGCTCCGCCCGCGCGGGCGAAGCGCAGCCTCGTCCCCGGCGCGTGTTTTATTTAATCGATGATTAATCGCGTATCACCGATTAAATAAAACACGCGCCGGGGACGAGGCTGGGCGAAGCGCGCTTTGTTTTTCAGACCCGTCATGGTTCCATGGGCCGATTTTCAAAAGACGCTTCGCCCGCGCGGGTAAAGCGGACGGTAATGGAGAATCGCCTTAACAAGATGTGGTCGTGTATGGGCGCGTTGACACGTCTCAGTTTGCACAGGATTGAATATTTAATATAAGCGCGAATTCCAAAGTGTAAGACATAGTGAACGTATCATGCGGTTTATTTACATTTTTAAACAAATGAACATCTATACTTTTTAAAGTACGATGTGCTTCTGAATGTCGCGATCGAAGAAAATTTAGATTCGCAAGGCATCTAAATTAAATGAGTATGAACTGTATTGTTTATGTTCACGTGCGTGGCATGCCGGAGTTAACGCAAGATCAGGCGTCTGGTTATATACAGTACAGGGTGTATCAAAAAAAACGCAACCACTTAATATTCATGAATATCCTCTTTGTTCTACAACACAAAAGACGTTTGGCCCCTGGAATGCGAGAAAGCTTGTAATCATATTCTAGCGTCACAATCGTCGGTAAACAAAGTCGGGTGCGTAAACCAACGAGCTGAATTGAAAGTATTTAACGAGTAAAATTTTATTTACAATTTATTTTACAAGGTCGACAGTTAGTATTCAAGTTAACATGCACGACAATAAAAACTCGTTGATCGGTTGTTAGCTGCACCATTATTAGTTTAGCTGATTTGACTATTAGCAGTTGAACTGTACGATTAGAAGCCATTTTAAAATCCCAGGGGCATAAAATCTATTGAGCTTATGAACAATATGAATTTTAGAATATTAAGTGGTTGCGTTTTTTTTGAGACACCCTGTAGTGTAATAGGTGTATAAAAAACTCAGGGCTAAACCAACTTTAATAATTCCCAAGGGCCTGCGATCTTTTGTTATTGAATAGAAGCGAACATATATGAATGTTAAGTGGTTGTAGTTTTTTTTATAGCTAAGGGGCTTGTTTACATGAGCCCGGTTACCCGAGATTTAACGAAGCTTGAGATGATTTTGAGGTATTGACATGAGCAGATAACATGATCCTGGCCGTCTTATAATCACCGCAACAATAGCATGTACTTGTTTGGTGTCATAAAGACTTATTTTAATACCTCAAAGTCCTCTCACGCTTCGTTGAATCTCGGGTAACCGGGCTCATGTAAACAGCCCCTAAATTCTGTATATGCATGTCTGTTGACTGTTGTCATGCATGAATAAACGTGCATCTACAGGGTGTCCCAAAAAAAACGAAAACTATTGAAATCACCCATTACAATGCCATTGTTAGAGTTTGAATGCCTAAGCACTCTGTTGGGCCCACAAGTGTATAAATCGGGGTTGCCATAAGCATTTTTATGCATGCATATGATGCAGTCAAATTTGCTTGTTCGCAAAAATGATATTTACTAACAATATTTACAATTTACAATTATGGATAACATTATTTAAATGTATGTGCATCTCAAAGACCAATTAGACCATGACCTTCGACATGTCCCCTTTCTCTAGCAACACAAAGCATTTAGCATTTTATAAGTTGCATTAAATCCCCACGGGCTGAAATTCGTGAACACGGCATTCAAATTTTAACAATGACTGATTTCAATAGTTTTCGTTTTTTTTGGGACACCCTGTAGATGGTTTTTACCTGCAAGTTTCAAGATGTTGCGTACATGCATACAGTATAGGGTTGATAATCATTACTTTTTTACTGCTGTTTTCTCAAGAATCTACAAGGCCTCGCAGTCAAGGATCCTGAACAAGCGCGAAAGGAACTGGAGAAAATCCAAGGGCATCTTGTCAATATGCCGCTAAAATTCTTACAGAACTCTGATTTGAGGCCACCAAGTGGGTCAAAAGAAGCTTTAGTTCCAGTCAAAATTTTTACGTAGTCATTGAAATATTCTCACAACATACAAACTTGCAGCAAAGTGAATTCAGCTATGTTTCATGGTAAAAAAATACGAAGCCTAGATCGCTAAACCGTTAGTGTTCCCGAGAGTGTTCCAGGTAATGGGGGGTGCTCCTGAAAAAATAAACACACATACTATGATATTGATGAGAATTTCAGCGAACATATCGTACAAATCACATTATTGCATACATGGGAATAGTGAATTGTTTTTTAAATTGCGAAGTAGCTATATTCGTCACACTATATATAGCATAAGTCGTCAATAACTGTCCTCAGCGTGTATGCTTCATATTTCTATCACGCACGAATTTCAACCGTATAGTAAATGTCATGCATGTCCGACAGTCCTTCTTCTAACTATATTTTATATACCTTGTTTATCCACGTCACAATTGATGCATGGTTCAGCTTCACCGTAGATAATTGTTCATACAGGAGATTCTTACTATGCGGCTACATGCTGTTTAGGCAACCAGTTGAAAACATGTTTACTTGGAGTTGTATCTGGTTTAAAACAATTTATTAAAAAGATTCTAGATTAATTAATAATTAATTATATATATATATATATATATATATATATATATATATATATATATATATATATATATATGTATATATATGTATTAGCTATATTTTGTTCCGGTATGTTTAATTTCTCTTTTTTGCATGTGTGTATCCTATTTCTTACGTGTGTGCTATATTTCGTATATTTATATTTCAGATAGTATACTTATATCCATTCAGGGGCGTAGGAAGCATCCAGAGATGATGGAGGGGGGGGGGGAGGGCACCGCCTAAAGATTTGGGGCTGTAAAGTATATTTATGCTCCACAAAAAAAATTGGTTCAAGTGGGTATACGTAGGAAAAGGACACCTTCGGTCTAATCTAAGCGGGTATGGTGTTAAATACAACTAATACACATGACAGCACAATAATTTTGTAAGAAAGGAAAATGAATAGCAATTTAGTTTAATTTAATATAGTAATGATCAGCAAAACCCAGTTGATTCAATAAGAAGGACGACAACGTTAATGTGAGCCCAAATAGTGTAAAAGAGAACGTTGTTAACCTTGCTATTTTGTTTCTATACAGCTTATACTTTTTTCCTCTCCAGAATAAAATAATTTGTTCGTAATTCTTATTGATTTAAGTAAACCTTTCGTTATCCATGGTTTAAGCAGATGTTTATAGATTTGCGCTTTGCACGTGTTACAATTGGGGCATATTCATTTACTATTTTATGATGACATATTTTCTGTTCATGTGGTAAAGTAATTGATAATCTCAATTATCGACAGAATATTATTGCAGAGTGAGAGCTACATATTTGGATCGTAAGAAATCTTCGTAAATTTGAGTTTAAAAAGGATAGGGTGGTTTTGTATTATTGAACTCGCTTATATTAGGACTAGACTGACTAGTCTTCCATGTAGGGTCCAAGGTGCTGCTTATATTATCTCGGGTACCAAGGACAACCTTAGCGCCGAAATGTCTATATGGGAAGTTTTATCAGAGAAGGAGACTTTCAAAACAGTCCTGTTACCCCTGTTACTCCTGTATGTATCAGTTGACCTACGATAAGGTAGTTCCTTGTGGGTAAATTTTAAAAATGTCGGAGAAATGAACATCATAATGATTGATGAATTCTTCAAATGTAAATCGATTTGTGGGTGGAAGGATTTCAGCTTATCAAGTAGACAAGGATGATTGGGATATCGCCAAGTTTATCTAAATCTTTAGTTCGATTCGCCTAAATTATTTTGAATTCTTAGAGTCTGCGAATTTGAGAATTGATGAATAAGAGGATTCTCTTGACCGGTAGCCTGAACACAGTTGACCATTCCGGATTTCCGGCACAACCATAGGCGGCCGAGAACTGATCTCGCTGACCTCGCGCGACGCTCATGTTGGTGCCAGCTGATTGGCTGTCGTTTTTTCAGTTAGAAAAAGAGCCAATCAGCTTTCTATTTTCGATTTAAAAATATGACGAAGGTATAGGCTGGGTGTCCCCAGCATAGGTTTTGAAATATATTTGCCAGAAACCCAAAAAACATTCACGTTTTATACATGCATAGGAATACATTTGAATGCTAAAAATATAGTATAAATGTAGTAAAATTATTCAAGTTTAATGTGTTGTACTTTTTTTTTATTCGCTATATTTTTATGAAATATTTGCGGTTTTGTGAAGGTGTTCGAGTTAACCGGCGTGCGTTTTTAGCTTATTTGGCCAATTATATATTATACATTACATTGACAAATTGCCGAAAAATTTTTCGCGCAAAAAAATATCGCGCAATTTTGGGCCGCCTATGATTTGGCGTGAGAGTTGCCTACCTTGTCATAATATAAGACTGTTCAGACAACATGAGCGTCGCGCGAGGTCAGCGCGATCAGTTCTGGGCCGCCTATGGCAATGGCACAACTAAAAATCAAGCGAAATATTTCATAATTTTCATTTGATCGAAAGATTCAGCCTAGTCAAAACTGTCGACTGTCTCAAATGTTACTCTTTGATTAAAATAAATAAAATTTCACATTTTAAATTGGTGATGGCTCAGTGGTCTAGTGGTATGATTCTCGCTTTGGGTGCGAGAGGCCGCGGGTTCGATTCCCGCCTGAGCCCCCTTTTTACCTTGGATTTTTTAGAATAATAATTTTTTTACTTATCTGTATACCTCACATAGCTAATATTCACAACTCTTACTGTAAAAGCTTTTATAAAATGAACCAGATGATCGTGATATTAATCGTGATCATTTCAGAGTTTCTTTCGTAATCGAATAATGTCTCATTTGCTCGTTGAAGCTTGGGCACGAGTCTAATTTTTAGAACCAATTTTCGATTTAGATTTTCTTCGTCGTATATGAATTGAGGACATACTTTTTCAAATTCTGGATAAACACAGACAATAATTTTTCTGAAAAATCCATGGAGAAAAAAAAACCGAGTTAGTGGAATAAAAACTGGGGGCTCAGGCGGGAATCGAACCCGCGACCTCGCGCACCCGAAGCGCGAATCATACCACTAGACCACTGAGCCTACAATCGCATACATGGTTCAATTTGCGTTATATAACATTTTTAAAATTTTAACGCCTGAGAAGTACATTGGACAACATTGGACTGAATAGTATAAACAGGTTTAAATAGGTGTAATGTGTTATGCATTTAAGAAATAGAAAACATTTTCCGTCTATACAGTTATAGAAGCACAGAAAAATGTTTTCTAAAAAGATTTTGTACAAATATTATAATTCAATTCAATTAAAAATTCTCATTACATCGCAAACTATGAGACTATGGAAAACCCTTGCTGTCGATGGAAAGACTTGCTGTCGCAAGCACTGATTCAAGAGAGATACGAGGGAGGTTTGGCTTTATTAAAGTATAAGAAAGAGTTTGATGCAAGATGTCGACAGGACGAGAGACACTGCATTGATAATGCATTCGTATTTGTCCGAGTTAAGGCTGTCGTATGAAAGGGCATATAGCCCACCCAAAGTATAGCCATTATCAGCTGAAGCTAATGCCACCGAGAAAGAGGTGCATGCGGTATGCCCGACAAGAAGGGGCTTTAGTTTTTTACAATGAGAGAAGAGATGAGAAGGGACATCTTGTGCCAGTTTGTTAATGATTTGGGAAAAGAGCTAAGAGAAATCTTAATTAGTCAAGATAATTTGCTAAAAAAAACAGAACTGCAAACTGTTCTTACGCAAATATCTATCTTAGAGGAAGAACGAGGAGCTACTAAAAGAGTTTCAGCTGCACAAGGGACTGGAAAATCAAGTAGCCCAGTGGAAAATACTGTAACCTCCAGTGAAGATGATGGGCAGTCCAGTCTGGAACACAAATTAGAGGAAATCCTGAAGAATCAACGCACTTTGCAAGCTGCAGCAGTTGAAAGGGGAGGTTGGAGATTTCCTGGGAAGCAGAGACCGGGTCCTCAACCCTCTGATATATGTAGGGCAATGGTCGGGACACTGGGCAAGTAGCTGTCCTTCTTTAAACAAATGAAGGGCCGGCTGGACGCTGATCCCCGGTTTAGCCCTGAAGAGTCAAGAAGGGTTCAAGTACCCATATAGAAGCCCTTTATCAGAAGCCAAGTGCAGAGAGGGAATTGTAAATGGGTGCAGAACAAGTTTCCTGTTAGACACTGGAGCAGAAGTTAGTTTAATGAGTGCAACTGTCCCTGGGCTAGAAACAAAGGAATCAGGTGTGGCACCAGTTTCAATAACCAACCAACCTATCATAATTCGAGGTGAAACTGATGTGAACTTGAGTCTAGGCCACTTGGCAACAAATTGGAAATTCTTAGTTGTGGACAATTCAAATGAATCTGTTTTGGGAGCTGATTTTATTGAGAGTCATTATAAATCATCGTGGGGAATTACTGATAACGGCATATTTGGAAGATCTAATTTGTTTTCACACACATTCGAGGAACATTTAAGAGGAATAAACAGACTGTTCCAGATGGTCAGAAAGGCAGGGTTCAAATTATCGGACAAAAAGTGACCACTTTCAGAGAATGTGGAAATTATTCGCAGTTGGAAGGCACCTGAAAATGAAGCAGAGCTTCGTCAATTTTTGGGAGTCTGTACCTTTTGGAGACGATTCGTAAAGGACTTCGCGAAAGTTGCGGTGCCATTACACAACCTGTTGAACAAGCCGCAATTGACGATAACGAAAAAGATGGCGGATGTAATTTTACCATGCGGATTAAAATTTCTTGAAGGACATATATGAGAAAGGAGGTTATTTTCTTCGTTGTGTTAAAGTTTCATATCCATTAGGTTATTTTCTTCACATCCCTTGTTAGTCATTTATGCTTGATGGTTGCAATACATTGTGGTAAAATGTACATGCCGCCATCTTTTTCGTTATGGTTAATTTGTGTGGGCACTAGAGTGTCAAGGTGCATTTGAAGAATTGAAAGAATGTCTATGCTCATCCGTAACGTTAACACTACCAGAGCGATTTGCTCGCTTTTCGGTTACCTGTGACGCATATGATTACGCAGTTGGCTATTACTTGGCACACAACTAATAGAATATACATGGTTTGGAGACTACATAAAAGTACAATAGAACTCATTAACTATGTCGGGGAACATTTATGCAAAAAATTGTTCCTTATTCGTCACGTGTCTGTTGTATTTTGAACAAATAAACCAATAGTAAGGTCTGAATTAACATGTTGTTCAAGTCACGGTCGAGGAGCTAAGCCAAGCCATTGCTATTGGTTAGTTGGGCAAAAATACAATAGATATGTGACGGATAAGGAACCATTTTTTGCATAAACCTGGACAATAACATAGATAATGAGTTGTATTGTACTTCCATCTAGCCTCCAAACCATGTATATTCTAATAACTGTGCTTGGAACAAGACGATAAATCTGGACAAAGAAGACCAGTTTCATTTGGAGGCAAAAGCTAACTAAAGCCGAAACCAATTATTCAACAACAGAGAATTAAGGAATGATTAGCAGTGATCGAAGCCCTCAGAGCCTATCGGCCGTACTTACTAGCGCGATTTGTATACTACTGCTCGTCATTCACTTAAATGGTTACTCAAGCGGACTAAGGAGCATAGTGGTCGGCTGTGGGTAGATAAAATGCGTGAATTCAAATATGTGGTGAAGCACATTCCTGGAAATAAAAACACAGTCGCCGATGCCGTGCGTATGGTCAGAATTATTGGAACAAAGAAAGAAGAGAAATGGTACCTCGAGTGTGTACGTCAGCAACAACAACATTTGTTCTGTAGTATCCGAGTCAGACATAACATTGATTAATTAGAATTTTGGATTTAACCTTGTATTATTGCAAAGCAACTAAAAGCAACGAAATAAAATCGTGCAGAATTCATCTGGTGAAGAAATACTACAGGTATGGCGACTATGTTTCTCAGGAGTTAGCGTTCAAGTTTACCAACAATTCAATCGGCCATATTACTACGCATGCGCTGTTAAGACAATCCGGCGTAAGCAAATAGCTTTCATTTAGCCGCACACGGGAAGATTTCGGCACGCGAAGCAGAAATTATCAAACATGCTAGATATTTGCCGTAAGTAGCACGAATGACCAAAGTCTCCAAATTACTTCATGGTTGGCTCGTTTGAACGATTTTTATTATGAACTCGTTGTGAAGGATCGCAAACTCACTTGTTCGCTGCGCTCACTCCTTCGTTATGCGATCCTTCACAACTCGTGCATAAAAATCGTACGCACTCGCCAACCATGAAGTAATCTCTGTTAATAGCACTGAGTGTTAAAGTAGGCGCACACCAGAACTATGCTTACCAAAAAGTCCTTCGTAGCCATTGGCGTTAGCCAGTTGCTCTCGTGCAGGGCACTTACATACTATACTTTATTTAGCATATTCGGCAATTTGGTCTGATTGACTGCAAAACCTTGACCTTTTCATTTTTTTCACGGAAAGTCTACAAGGTCAAAGTGGTGCTTATGCTCCACGATTTAATGACCGTACACGGGTCAATTTAGCAGAAAGACACGAGTCACAGCCTTGCTATCATTGTTATGTTCGCGATTTTGGCTTTGTATCTATGCTTTTGATTACAAAACAGAATAAAAAGACGGATAGAAACTTGAAAGAGTTATAAGACAGAGTATTTGCTTGCAAACCCTTGGTTGTTTCCAGGGGCGGCGGAACAGGGGGGAGCTAGGGGGCTAAAAGCCCCCCAAAAATCTCATGAAGAATGCCAGAATGGGAGATTAAATATACAAATTACGTTACCACGAAGTCGTCAAATTAATGCTCGCTGGCGTATCAAATGCTAAAAAGATATCCTATATTGTGTTACGGATCAAGTGAATGTAAATTGATCTTTCATAGTTGTCTTTAACAGCAGAATATTCGTGGTTGTATATTGTTATTATTTTCGGACCGCCATTTTGTTTAGAAATTATTTTCTCTGAGAGATGATTCTTCAAATGTAGAAGATATCACTACACGCGCTGTGCCGTTTCAGTTTGTGTTTGCCCATGAAAAACTACGATGAAAGCGGCAAGTAAGACTCTGAAATGGCCATTTCCGAAGATCTAGAGCATTGAAATTCCAAAAGAATTAGCCCCCCCCAAAAAATATATTATGTTCTGCCGCCCCTGGATGTTTCTCCCAATAGTGTATAGTTGGTTAATTAAGGAACATATTATGATATTGAGACTAAACCTGATTTCTTACCTGGAATAGCAATCAATGGCTGGGCTTCGATTTTCTCTGAAGACCCGAGTAATATTTGGTTGGGTAAACATGGCCTGCAAATTGAATAAAACAAGACAAAAGAGAGCGTTGTTGAAAGGATACAACATATATTTTCAAAATAACCCTATGCACAATGTTATAAAATTATCATCACGTCATCCAAAATGATTCTCAACCATATTTTCGACAGGTTCCCGTTGTCTTTTCACTATGTTCCCTATGTGGTTGGACTCTGAGACTCATTCACGTCTAGCAGTCATAAGAAGAAAATCGCGCCGGGACTCGCAACAAAATTTGCAAGTGTTAACGGGCCAGAATTTTGATTCTTTGTTTATACTTTAATAACTTGTTTACTTGTTTTGTGCACTTATTTACTTATTTTCTAAATGTGTATACTGAAAGACTACTTCTGAAACTTTGTTTACTTTCTACTGTGTCTTTCAGTTTGTTTACTTCTTTCCTTCATTGTTATAATTATTGCTGACACAAACTCCAACTGGATTTTCAATGGTCGCTCTTCTCATGTCGCAATGTGTATCCTGGGCGCATTTTCCATGAATGTAAAATTTTCCACCGCACAGCTCCCCTTCATCGCGGGCGCATATGTTACAGCAGTTGCACGCATCACGCAAGATTCCTCTTGAACACTGTTTTGCACGACCAGGGCATTGAATATCTTTGCACTCAGGGCAGCCTTTTCCAATAATCATTCGCCGAATCATTATGTCTTCGGCTCTTTCCCGTAAAGGTTTTAAGTTACTTAACTGCGCATGTCCCGTATATAGGATATAACACAATTATCAAGCGGATTATCATTTTCTGCAAAAGATGTGAAAATTATCATTTTAATCAAAGCAGGGTTATTCATAGTTATAGTAAAAGAAACTGTTTCCTAATCTGAATCAACTACGATAGTTTGGTAGAAATTTAGTTTGTAATAAGTTTCATTACCTTTGGAAAGAATGGAGCTTGGGAGTTGGGAGATAATATTTCACTTTATACCTAGTACAAGATTGCCGAAGTATATTTTAAATTTTGGATTGTCTATGGTTATTAGCCTATGTATGCTTTATTGCTTTCAGGCTTAATCTCTTCTAACCTAAAATATCAAACTAAGCTTATTTAAATTGTCATAAAGATATATATTCTTAAATTTTTACAAATCACATTACATAACTGATAACATAACAAACTCATAATAAAATATGTAGACGTAGTATCTCTTTGATTCTTTAAGTCGAAACTCCAAATTTTCTGTGATATTAGCTTTGAGGTGATTTTTAATTAAATCAGTATTATTATCACTTTAATAGCTAAGAGTCGGGTCATTCTCACAAAAAATGCTTAATTGAAATTACAGATCATCAGCCGAATCCCGAAGATAACCTATATACATAAAATCTAAATTATTACCTTTACAGTTAAATTGCCCAGCTTTACCGTCAGATATATCCCATGAATTTTACGAATTTGCATCAAAAGTTGAACAAAGAACTAACAACCCGCTATATTGAGACTAAACTCACTGTTATATATGGCATATGCATTGTTAATAGCACAATGCAACCAGCAGTTAGCCTTTAGCGATGAATTTTAGCAACCAGGGGGGGATCACGGGTTGTGGACTTTTAGAGCTGAACGCTCAGACAGGGGCTGAGCTAACTGCTTTAATCGTAGACAACTAGCCAATTAATGTGCACGAAGGCTGGCATTCCGTGTCAATTTCATTTTAATTCGAAAAACATTTTGTTTAAACTCTTACCTTACATATGAGCTAGCTAGAGCATTAAAATACAATTGCACAACCTAACATACGAGGTGTTATCTATTAAGTTCTCAAAAATTAGGCGAACTGGGCGGCCCCTCGGTAAAATTTCTTAACTAAAGGTGCTATACATTAATGCATGGTAACCATGATGAAAACGGGGAGGTATAAACAATGTCAACATGTTTATAATGTTAACAAGAAAGACTTGCTTGAAAGACAACTTTCTTGTGTTTAGTTAATGTTCTTTTTATTTTCAAAATTATGCAGCAGATAAAAAGTTTGACACTGGTAACTTGGAATTTAATGGAACTTTGAGCCTCGGCAATAATGTCAATATCTTAAATTGGAATTCAAATATGAAAATGGAAAGTCTAGAAAAAATCATAATGGCTGCACAATGTACGGTGCTTTACAGGCAGAGGTGAGCAGAGTGGACTATATAGGACAACGTCAGTGTGTATGTAGTGAAAAATTGATATGACATCTCTCCATGACGATGAGATAATTAACAATATTTCATCCGGCCATGCACCTTGACAAACTATCCTATAGTGAAATCTTTCGCCAAGTGTTCTTATTTTATTTCAATGTACTTTCAGGGGAAAGCGAATTTACCCTTTTGCCGTTGGCAGAGCTGAGTGCTCTAAAACGAAAGTAAAATCCAATTAGACGTTAGTGAAATATTGCAAGTGCATGGAGATTGCTGAGAGTGGAAACTTAATGTTCAGTTTGACCTTTTGTACCGTGATTCATATCCCACAAGGCTTTATCGAAATTATCCGGTTTCCGCATTCCGTATACTACCAGTTTTTCCAAATCGTCCGATAAAACGGGACCCTAATGATAATGTGCACTTTATTATTTATTTTTCAATATAGGAGTGCCGGCCTTTTAACAATAACTTTATATGGTCTAGTTTACTTCCTAGCCCAGTGCTTGTTTCTGATTGGGCAGCTTTACGGGTTCTTATTCGCTTCATTGATTTCTAGACAGGTTGCAAAAAGCCGCATAGGCTCGGAATATCGACCGTCCAATGAGAGACGTGAATTATTAACTAGGATTGCTCAATGAAGCGTGGAATGTTTACTGTGATGTCAGATTCTGACAATGTTACAGGATCAGAATCGAGCAAGATCATCGAATTTTACCTGTCCTGCTGGATTGTGAAATTTTTACACTAAAATCTTTGTTGGATAAAGGGATTCTCTCGATTTGGGCCGAGGTAAGTGTAAAGAAACCGAAAGAGTGACGCAAAACGTGTCGGGAAGAAAAACGAAGGACAATCGTAATTTAAAATCACAAGTATTGTCTTTTTTCAAGCTTGATTAGTTTTCTGTAACACATGAATGACTCTAAAATAAGGCCGCTTGAAATGGCTCTCTATGGGCTCTAAAGTTATATTTAAAGGCTTACATTTACTCAAAATAAATTTATTCCTTTAAAACTTCCATGCGAATTGGAAAATTTCTGTTCATGATTTGAAAACGTGCAAAAACAAATTCATAATTATCATTATACATCTGTCGAAAATCAACCATCACCCTGCTTTCTTAGGGGGATAAAAATAATTTAGTTTGACGCTTTTTAGTCTTTTAAATTGTAGTTATATAAAGTAGTATATGAGGAATGATAGTTTTCTTAAACGACGAATGTTTTATAATTCTTATTTTTGAGACTATTGTATGATACATTGGATTGCTCTCCCTTTTCTATTAAATAAAGTAGCAATCGAATTTCTAGCTAGCAAACTTTAGTAGCGTCAGAAATAGGGTTCCTGAATCCTGGCGAACACTACAGCCCATACTCTTAAAGCATCAGGGCATATTGTGCTTTTTACTTATTTAATTTCTAATTGGATCAAAATCTTACATTTGTCCCTTCTGAACTTGTTTTTATATTATATAAAGAACGTATATTCGCATGTTTGATTTCGGGATAAAAATTAACTACAGTAGCTTAGCCAGAGCAAATTTGTATTACATTCTTTAATAATAGTATATTTTAATCTGTCAGACGAAATTTTACGCTAGACGATACAAAACAATGGATCTACTATATTCATAAATCTTGAAGTTTATTACATATACCTACTATAAGTTCCTAACAAACTAAACTTGCTGTAATAAAGGTTTTTACTTCTAGTTCTAGTTTTATTAGTTTTATTTTTTTACCATTCACAATCAGGCATGTAAACACAATCATGACAATTAAACTATATATATATATATGAACTTTGTCTTTGACATTGAAATGTGATTTACAAATCATATATATAAACATGAATTATACTAACTATGGTGACTGGAGATTGTGTCATATTCTGGAATCGTAAATGCTATAAAGGAATTGGGTTTAGATCTTACATGAACGATAATTATGCATGCGAAGTGAAATATATGCATCTGAGGCTGAGACAACCGATAAAAGCTATAGTTATAAGTTTGAACCAATCTGGTTTAACGAAAGACTAATCTGTTTGAAAGACTAACTGCGGACAATTTTAACATAAAGATTGCGCCATGTCTAGTTATGGCTATATGATATCCAAATTTATTTAAATTTCTTCTAATCTTATATTCGTTAAATAACATTTGGTTCGTATTGCTATTAAAATGAACAGGTGGCCCCAGCAAAATCACAAACTACAAACAGGTCGACTTAATTAAGTAAGCCGAGCTAAAAGTCAGAGATCATCATATGCATGTAGTAATGTTAAATAAAAATTTCCCAAAATCTGAAAAACTCTCAACAGCTCGTTTTAGATTTTAGTGTTTGCACTGAAACTTGTTAACCTGTTTCGGGGTTTTTTCTATTACAGAGAGTCACGATGACTTTCGTACAAAACTTTGTACTTTTGCTCCTTTTTGTTGGTTCATTAGAAGGTAAGGTTTCATAATGGTTTTCAAATTATTTATCGATTGTCAATGACAATTTTAATATTGATTCGCTGGATAGTTTCGTTGTTAAATAAACAGCAAATGTTTGACGTACATTTTACTAGACATAAATTGTTTAAAATTGCAAATTCAATTGTTTAAATAACAGATGAAGAGAAAAAGGTTATTTTCATCCCTGGGAATAAATTTGATGGTGATGATGCATGGTGCAATATAACTACGCTTATTATAGTGTAGTCTTTTGCTACAGAGCAATTTCGGCAAGTGTACATTGTGAAACAATGTAGCTACCATCATGACACAATGATTGTGTGCTCGGTATTTTGCGATAGTATGTCGCTGTTTTTTGGTGATGATAAAGTCAACATTTTTTGCAGCTGGATCATGTAGGAATAACAATCATTTGAAATCAAAATACAGACGAGCTGAAGTGCCATCAGCTGTTTCGTCACCACCAGCCACGACCACTATGAATGCCGATACATCCGCTCCGACGCGTAAGTTTTCACAGATATAGTTTTCTTAAGTAATTGCATGCTAAGGTAAAGCCTTAGGCAAACACAGGACACTAGTTTTATCAGGTTTAAAGTCATCTTAATTGTTACTTTTTGCAATAAATATAGCCTGGAAAAAAACTGGGCAGTACCTTTTCACCCCCCCCCTCCCATTAGCGTCGCCAATTGTGAATCCCACTCCGTAACCAACAAATCCCATTCAGTTTTCAAATTTTGCTATCTACATATTGGTTACTTTTTTGAGGGTCCCTTACGTAATAGCAAAGGATTCTTTATCTGTATACTACATTGCAAAGTAAAAACTAAACTTGACCTGATGGTACTGTGCATATATGTTTCAGGTAAACTAGTATGTTACTTGGACTTCGAGAGTCAGCCTGAAACAGGCACCTCAATAAAAGACAAGTCGCAGAGTGGAAATGATGGTTACCGTGAGAAAGGTCTCCTACTGGTCAATTTCAAAGGCTGCGGTAACGCTGCGTACCTCTATTCTGGAGATATTTTATTCCATGGCGATACCTTCCAAGGAAAGCCATATGAAGGTAATACTAAATACTCAATTGTCTAGGAAAACAGTTGTATACTACGTACAGTGTTCGTTACGAAGGATTTCTCTCTTTTGAACTTGCTGATTGATTTGTACTTGCCAGCGTCAAAGCCCGAAATCTAGCTCGCCTCAAATGATGACTTCAAAATCGCGTACCCGTCCCGAAGGGAAATCAACCTATTTAGTCCGCTTAGGTTTATATTAATATCCACGCTTAAGTGTCAAGGTTACTAAATTGCAACTTCTTTTTGAATTAAGGTATAACAATTGCTGCTTGGGTGAGGATCCTAGAGCTCCCCGGCAGTCACTCTATCTTCGATACAATTGGTAGCAGCCATGAGTGTGGCCAATATCACTCGAAATCAACGATGGTAATGTCCGTTGGTTCCATCGAAATGAAACTCAACAAACTGTGTTCAGTGTTGAGGCAACTGGAGCCCCTGTCAAACAAGGTAATTCATTTTGGAATTCACCATAATTATCGTAGCTACAAGTCAGGTCTACGGGCTAAACAGATAGCTACCAATTACCGATTATCGAGTTTGTGTATATGATTCATACGCATCACGTCGGCGCATCAACCTATAATAGTATAGTTGTTAAATGCATATCAACGTCACGGTCGGCTATTGACCAACAATGCACACTATGATAGATTCTTTAAAAAAATCTTAATGAAACACACGTCAGAAAACATATTTTGACTTCACCATTTTAGCCACGTGGGTTCACGTCGCAGGCACATACGATGGAACAATTGGCAAATCAAAAATCTACGTCAATGGTGATTTAAAGAATATGTCTGTCAACGAATATGGCGGATACTTATCACGTGACTGGAACATGCGCGTTGGGATTGGTGACCACAAAAATTTCCGACCAGTATTAGGTTTCGTTGACGAGTTCCGCGTATATAACTATGCAGTCACCAAAAAGGAAGTCGATGATATGGTGAAGAAATGCAACTTCCAAGGTTAGTATAAACGACGTTCGTGCGGGACAAGAACGAATTCTAAATAAATTATAATTTGGACCATAATACATGATTCAAGATTCAGAAATAATATCAACTGAGGAGGGAGGCTTATAACTAACTATTAATTTTAGCTATTTTACCGTGCCTAATTTTTATATACTAATGTAGAAATTTGCAGAACTATCTTTTTTACCAACATTTACCAGCAGACAATTTAAATGAAATATACTAGAAAAAACATTCTCCGAAAAACAACATTGACTAAATAAACTCAAGATATGAGTTTAAAAAAATAAGGCAACAAGGTTGAAATAACACCACAAAATTGCTTAAAACTCATTCGTAGCATATTTTTTCTCATATTTTTTCCACATTTTTAACCTTTCATAGCTGCATGTAGTGTCGGACGCATTATTTTCTCTTTGGCCCAATGTTAGCTGGAAACTACCATTGTTTCTCCATTCACTTTATGTTACCAAT